GCTGACTTTCCTCGACCACGAGCTGCGGTGAGGGTAACCGTGCTGCGAAGCGTCTTCTCGACGATGGCCTCCACGAACGTCAGCAGAGCCTTGGCTTGGTCTACTGTCTTTGCAAGCTTGACAAGATCTCCGGTAGGAGGCGAATCTGCCAAAGACTCCTTGATCTCTGCCAGCTCTTTCGCCTTGGGTGTCTTGCCCTCCAGCTCTAGGTCCGGTGGTGGCAGCTGCTTCACATGCTTTCCACCTGAGATGGGGAGCACGTTCAGCTCATCATCGACAACCAAACAGCTGTCGCATTTCCCGAGTGACAGCAGGAAGCGCTCGTTGAAGCGCGCTACCACGTCGCTATGTGCCTCTGTCCGATACCTCGAGTGGATGTCCATGGACATTGTGTACAGCTGCTTCAAGCTGCTCATGCCCTTGAGCAGCAATATGACCAATCCTCCACCCTCGACCGTCTCGATTGTCCTCGCGAGTAGGTTCGGCGTAAGCGCTTCGAAATCCTGCAGGATGCACATGCCGTATGTGTTACCCAGAATCTTGTCGGTTTCCTTGTAGTAGACATATCGGATGTTCTGCGTTGAGACGAATAGTTCGAATGGGTCTTCGGTGTCGACATCGCGGATGCCGCGCTTGAGTTCGTTCTTGATCTTCTTCTCGCGCTTCTTGCGGTGACTTGAGAATCCCAACAGCTTGTTCTTGTATGCCCACAGCACCGACTTGTTCAACTTGACGTCCACGTTCAGCAGAATGTGGTAGAGGTTGACAATGACGTCCTTTTGGCGATCGCCGACCACTACGAAGAAGCTGCGCTTCTTTTCCTGGGCGCCATTGCGGATCAAGGCCGGTATACGGGAGTCGATGGCTTTCTTCGGCATCTTGAGAGCTCCGCAGGCGTCGCCGCCTCTAGTTCGATAGCGGGTGTGGTTGGGGTGGCGCACGCGATCTATCGGCTGAGTTCGGGTCGCGGAAGAGTTTCGTTTAGATTGGAGGGCGGTGAATCCTGTTGCCCTTGATGTGGTGGGTGACGAGCTGCGTGCTAAGGAAAAGTTCGAGCCGTCGCGATGCCTGAGAAAATAATCCAAGATCCTTATCGATAAGAGCAGCCTCACGCTACCTACGCGCTACAATGTGAGCGCGTCTTGAATGAAAAGATTGAACGCGTGCATTTGTTTTCGCTTGCTGGTTATTTCCATCTCAGATGGATCGATCACTTATAACAGGAGATTCAGTGAGAGCATTTATGATCGCACAACTTTCACATGCCGTTCAGGATCAAGACATCGAATTCGTATACATGGCGATGTCGAGCTTCACCATTCGATGCGGAATGTACTATATCGTAACAGTTCACTACTGAAATACTACTCGGTGGTTCCCGCCTTCCAAGCCTCAGTGTACGTCTTCAATCCCACATGCTTATTGATCCAATCCAACACGACCGTATGCCACATGAGCCCATTCTCCGGCTTCAGCACCCAATGGTTCTCATCCGGGAAGGTCAAGAACTGACTCTCAATTTCTTTACACTGCAGCACATTGAACGCTGCCAGTCCCTCACTGATTGTGAGCCTGTAATCCAGTTCGGAGTGTATGACCAACTGAGGCGTGGCCCAATTCTCGGTAAACCTGGACGGGTCCCACTTGGCCCAATTCTCGGGGTTATTCCAAAGCGTTCCCTTGATGTCGTGGAAGGGGAAGTACAGCTCCTCAGATGCCATCTGGCCGGACATGCTAAAGACACCGTCGTGGGTCACTAAGGCTTTGAATTCGCGGCCGAGAGGGTGCCCTTGGATCCAGTTCATCATGTATCCGCCATAGGAGGCGCCGAGGGCAACGGCTCGCTTCGTATCGAGGTAGCTGACATTCTGCTTTATGTAGTCGAAGCCCAGCACGAGGTCTTCATACGGCAGACCGCCCCACTGGCCTTGGATCGCATCTGTGAAAGCTTGTCCGTAGGATGTGCCTAGAGATGAGGTTAGTATATATCTACTTCAAGTTCTACTGTATGAGCTTTACGTACTTCCAGTAGGGTTTGGGCAAATGACAACGTAGCCTTGCTCTGCGAATACTGCAGGGTTCCAACGCGTACTCCATCCATCCGTCCATGCACCCTGGGGTCCACCATGGATGAGGTAAGCGAGGGGGTATGTTTTGCTGGACGAAAAGTTGCTGGGCTTTATAACCCAGGCGTGGACCTTGGTACCGGATGCAGCGCCATCCCAATAGATTTCATCGATCTGGTGGCGCGACAGACCAAACATGGACCCAGAGCGAGTATTAGAAGAGATGTACTTGGTTGTCAGATTATCAGGGTCTGAGTCGTATGGCCGATCGTCGATGGGAAGATCGTAGACGGCGGTGTCTTTGCTTTGCGTGCTTAGCGGGACCAGTGAGTAGAGAGAGTTCTCAATCAAGCTCGTGGAAGCCAAGAAAAGATCGCCATTCCTGAGCACCTGTACTGAGCCGATGGTCCCACCCAGAACTAGTAGTGATGGCAGAGGCTCCTTCTCGCCGCCAGGCTTAGGAGGTCCGGCACTGTATAGGTTTCCACGCCCACGTGATTCAGCAGTGAAGTAAAGGCGCCAGTCGTCAGGGCTCCAAGATATTGACTGTGGGCTTCGGTCCCATTTACCCTTGCCGTCTTCAGATCCGTAGAGTAGGGTGACCTCTGAAGGTTTCTTGTAATCGTGGATAATGAAGGGTTGGTTCTTGTCTGACTCGTAGCCATCAGTCTTCATAGAGAGGAAAGCGATCATGCCACGCGAGTTCGACCAGACAGGAGATGTGCTGGCACCCTCGAAGCCTTCGATGGATACATTTTGAATTTGTGGCTGGTCCTTGAAGTGAAGATCATCCCAGAATGTTTCAGACGCGGAAACGTAGATGTTGGTCTTCGTGTGTGTCGCAGGGTTCAGGCCAGGATCTTTCGCTGTGAAGACCAGGCCATACTTGGATATGTCGAAATGATCCTTTCCACCGAAAGGCTCGATCGGCGACTCCAACTCCGTTCCCTTTAGCGCATTTATCAGAGGATACCCAGGGTTGGCATCTGTATCTTGGGATTTCTCCGACTTCTTCAAGATGAACTTGCCAAGCCAAATCGCGTTCCGGTTCTCCGTCACGTAATGATCCCAATGGCGAACAAATCCGGACTTGTAAAGTTTGCCCGAGGAATGTGGCTTCTCGGCCAGCTCGGGGTTGAACAGCGTACCATCTGGCTTCGCCTTACCGACCACAGCGAAACCGAAAGTATCATCACCGAGGGCATACATCTTGGCGTCGCTTACTGGACCGTCGATATGTACAGCAGTATGTTTGCTGAGAGTCGTTTAGCAGTCGCACACTCATATGGGGAGTACTGAACCTACGTCTTCTCGAAGTTGTATGGAGAGCCAACAACCATCTTCGTGGTGCCATCATCATTTGACTTTAGCAACAATACAGTCTCATCGTCAAGCCATGAAGGCTCGCTGAAGGATGCATCATCCGTTACAAGACTGGTCTGCTGGCTTGCGGCATCCAGAACGCGAATCTCGGATTTCTTCGAATGTTCAGCAAAGCTGTAGGTCGATACCGCGTATACGACTTTTGATGCATCGGAATTTGGGACACCTCCGGAACGGCGTGGCGCTTCGAGTAGCACCTCGGGTGTGAATTTGGAGGCTCTGATCGTCATACTGGTTTTGGCCTCAAGAGAAGGTACCTTTGTGATATGTCAGTCGGGTGCTCAGAATGGATTACTTCTCATATTTAGGTTTTAAACCATTGTGTTGAGATGTAGGATCGTTCCGTGGTGGAGACGCTCGGAAGCGGTGTAGATGTAGTTGTGCGGATATCACGTATGTAGTAGAGCCAACTTTGAGATGCTAGGATGAACAAAATCATCAGATCATAAAGCAGATCATTGAATGGAGAGTGCATGCAGGTCTTGCTCTTGGGCAATGCCTGCTGTTGTAGAGCAACAAACACCCAAAGAAGCAACGACCTCAGACACCCGCCACGTGGATAGAAGGGTGTCTACGGATCGACGAAGGATTGGAGTCATGACTTACTCAATGGAAGGCTTCTCTCAGGATGCGTGTAACGATTGTATCCGACAGGTGAGTGACAGCGATGGTTGTGAAGCAAGGAACGCGGAAGGGAGCACCGTGGTAGATGTCTCACGGTCCAACTAAGCGGATGTGGTTGGCCGATCCCCTCACGCGTGCGGGCGCCAGCCACCCCACCGACTAGCGGCCTTCTTTGTGTCATCACTCACCGACGTTTGCATTGCCCCGCCTATGATATCTGTGCGATGTACAACGGTTCCAATCGATAGGTACCGGCTACATTCAGCTCTCCCATGTTTGCGCATCCACAATATAAATGATTCATTTTGAAAAATGTCCAAAAACAAGTCCAGGGACAACAAAGTCCTGTGGCGCAGTGGTAGCGCGCCGTTCTTATAAGATTCGTCAGACTCTTATGACCTCATCTCAGGTTATGCGGATGCCGTGGGTTCGAAGTACGTGATTTCCAGACAACCGTGATTCGATTTCCTGTACTAACAATTCTTCCAGCCCCACCAGGACTAGTGATCTCTCACCTTTTTTTGCTGTTTTCTTGCGGACTCGTTGTGCTTGTGGGCCTTATCTTTTGCTGGCGGGGCTACCCTTGCGTAGTACTAATATTCCCACTTCTAAACACCTGCTACGAACTAGGAAGGAAAGCGCATATGCTGAGTATGCGAGGAGCATTGTGCTATTAATCGTAATAGTCAAGCTATCAGCTACTACTTCACACTCGTCCAACTCTCTGTTGACATCGCCATGCATTCTGAGGTTCCAGGGAAGAGGGACGTTCATCAAACGTATAGCAACATGTACATGCATTGCTATCCAGAGGAGGAATACAGTTCACTAGACGAACAACTGCAGCCATAGTTATCATGTCAAAGTGCATGAGCACATTGTTCATAACTCTCCATCTCCACCCTCCCGCGCACCTCCCTCTCCCCCTCATGCATCCCAAGCGCGCGCCTCCCACTCCATCGCCGTATCCGCTCGCTCCACTCGTTTCCTCTGCTGTACGGTTCCCACCCGCTGCACAACCTCTTGATACTCTTCCCCGCCCCTTTCAAACGAAACACCAATTTTCCTCCCACACAACGCATTCAGCGCCTCCTCCACCCTCTTCTTGTTAAGAAAAATCCGCCTCTTCCCCGCCCAATCCACGACCACTTCCTCCAGTTTGTCTAGCATTTGCAGTGCTGATCTAAGCGAATCAAATTCCGTCCCAGATGCCCAAGGTAAATCCATGTACTCCTGCACTGCTAACAGCGCGGTCGCCCACTGGATCTTCAGCGAGCGGATAGAGGATGCTTGGGCGGGTGACAGGCGGCAAAGAATAGTGCCGAGGTCCCCTATGTTGGCGCAGGAGATGGTGTTGTGGTGGAAAGGCAAAAGGTGTGTTTCCAAGTAGAATTGTCGGGATGTGAGGATTGCGGCGAAGGGGTTTCGCGTTCGCGGCTTCGTGTCGTCGGATAGAGACGTATCGTTGATCTCAAGACCCATCATCATATCATCAAGATCGATATCTATCTCCATCGCCTCATCAACCTCCGCTTCAGTGATAGCTGCCCCTTCGAAATCCGCGTCGAGAGGAAGGAGTTGAATAACCTCGTCCGTAGTGAACGCGAATTCGTAAATGCGCTTGCGGATATCGCCTGGTAAGTTGAAGAAGGCCGAATCTGAAGAGTTTTGTATGCCCAGGTCCAACATTTCTTGCGTGGGTTGGGCTTTCTTCGCTTTTTGATTGAGCATCTTGGGGGTGAAGCGGATTTTAAGTTGGGGATTGAGAGACATATTGGCTGGCTTTGAAAGATTGTTCGTGACGTTGGTGCGGAGGCTGGAGTATACAATGCAGATTATCGGCGAGAAAGGGACCTGGGAGGAGTTGATGTAGTCGGCAGGCTTATTGATGATTGTGAGGATATCGCTGGGATACGTATCGTATTATACCAGGCTCATACATACTTCCGCCTAGGTGTACTATGGATGAGATGTCGGAACCTTGGTTCGTGATGGTTGACGACCAATCGAAACATCAGCTTACCGACGACAAGCCGTAATTCCAGCTTTTCCATCGACGCACATGACACCGAGGAGAATACCAGAACAGAGTATTAGAAATTGGATTGAGAAGAGAAAGGACGTCGCTATTCTAAAAACCCGCTAAACACACCATGGTATACGCTGCGCCGTCATTATGTACCCTGGGCAAGAAGCCCGAACCAGTCATGTACCCAAATCGTAATCTCATTACCAATCCAATCCCCGTCTAACCAGACGATGATCACTATTGCAATCCCCCCTCACCTATTACTTCCAAATCTGCCACTTCTTCTTACGCTTCGGCACCACGAAGCTATCCTGGCTCATCTCCTGCTCCTGTCCGCTGAGACTAGCGTCATCGTCATCAGCGCTATCGAAGCTATCTTCGTCTTCGTCCTCGTACCTGCCTCCACCGAGGTACTTTGCGCCTACTCCTGCAGTGCCGTTACGTTGGGGGTAGGCTGGGTAGGAAGAGGTGCGGTCGTAACCGCCTCGTTGTGGTTGTGCGGCGTAGTCAGCACGTTGGACTGGTTTCTCGGTGTACTCTGGGTCGACGACTTGACGCGGTGCGGTGGCAGGATGGGTCTTGCCGTCTCGACCGCCGCTGGAGAAGTAGTCGCCGCCGGCTGTGTCTTGTCGTGCTTGGAGACCTTGCCCGTCTCGCGAGTAGGGCGAGTTTGGTCCGGCGCCGACGATCGCTGGATGTGGTGGGTATGATTCCCGCTTCGCCTTCCTTTGCGTTTGTGCAGGTGTATGAGCGGCCACGTGGGCATCATGCTCCCACTTCTTGTCGTGCGAGTGTTGGTTCAAGATACCACCCATGGATCTTCGCTGCACTTTGGGTTCTATCTCTGGTGAAGGCGCAGGGAGTTGCGACTTGTGAGACGAGTTATAGGTAGGCTGCTTGCGCGTGGAGGCGGAGCGGGATGGCATCGCTGTCGCTTGGGTCGCAGTCTGGGTAGCGGGAGGCGCGACCGGCATGCTGACGTGCCGTTTCGCGGTTACGTTGTCCCAAGCAGCAGCTCTGGACGAGGTACCCGCAGCTGCATCCAAGCTTCGTCGTCCTTGACTTTCTGGAACGAGATCGCGGGGGATTCCGTTCGTTTGGTTCGGAGCTACAGTTGCAGCTGTGTTAGCATGGAAGCCTGAACTAAGACGGTTCTCTCGGGCAGTGGGAACGGGAGCTGCAGGGCCGATGGCAGTGACAGGGGCAGGCTCAGAGCCACGCCTGTTTTGAGACCCCATACTCGGCATGACTATCCGAGGTCCGACCTTGTACCTTTGCTGCGTGCGCTCTTCTTCCTCTTCACTAGACATCTCCCCAAGCTCACTTCCGCTTTCGCTGCCCGAGATGGAATTCCCATCATCGCCGATCGTCGCTTTGCGCTTGCCACCGAAAGAGCCGAAGAAACCACGGGATCTACCCCTTTCTTTCTCGACGACGCCCTCCTCAGGCTCGACATAAGTAAGCGCTGGGACGAGTAGTCTGTATGGCATCGTGATACCAGCCGGGTCGTGCTGTGATACCTCGACGTTGAGACAGATGTCAAGACCACCCTCAAGGTTGACGTATGGGCCGTGGTGCCGCTCAGTCTTCTTAGTCAGTACGCTAGGTCGGCGATGGAAGGTAGACGGTCGATCTTGCGACACGCTATGCCGGCTTAGAGGAGGTGTTGCAGTCTCAGACGTGTCAGGACGGGCGACATCTACTGACGCGCGGCGACGGAAGAGCGATGTCAGAGAATTGCGTCGCGAACGAGTGGGTCTCTCAGGTTCTGATCGATCGGGCGAGAACGAAGACTGTGGTTGATGGTGGCCGATCTGAACTTCATCGGCGGCGGCATACGAAGGGTTGTTGCGATAAGACACAGGTGGTCCGCGACCTCTTCCTGAAGGTCTTCTCTGTTGGCCACTGAGTCTTCTCACCAGCTGTCCAGGCGCGAAGTCTGACATCGTTCTTCCCGTGCGCGGCCCGTTCGCGGGGGTCGTGGGTGGTGATGGCGTTTCTGATGGTGAAGATCCTGGCTTGTACTCTCGAATGCTACACCAATTTCGGTGTGGTAGCAAATGTGTGTTGTTCCTCTTCTTGCCGTCGACGCCGTGAGTGAAGAGGGGGATCATGTCTTCATCTGTGTCTGAATCGAGATGGTGTATCTTGTTGCGCTTGTTGATGATGTCTGCCATCACGTCTGGAGGTGGTGTGTTGACAATGGCGGAAGACACAACATTCGGCATGTATCTGTGATCCTTGTCCTTGGGAATGTTCAGCTTCTTGTTGCTGTAGAATTGTCCGACTGCCGCCAGATGAACGTCACCACCGAGTATGGTAACGCGCACAGATTTAGTCGAAGCAATGTGTTGCAGCTCTTTGATGAACCAGTTGCGCTCTTCTTTGTGGTGCTTGGCTGTCCAATGATCGTCCAGGTCATCAAGGATTTCGACGCCTCCATCGAACTTGTTGACAAAGTTGCCCAGCATTCCTGCGCGGCCGAGAGCCTTTAGAGGGTCCATAAGCCTGCTTGTGAGGATGTTCTCGAGGAAGTTCAGGCGGGGGTAGGCAATGGGTACTCCAAGCAGCACAATCAAGTGCTTAGTCTCACCCTTGATGATCTCATCTTCCAGACGATCGAAGATGATGTCGTAGGAGTCTTCGGTGAGGATCTCGTCACGCTGTCGCTCTGTACGGCAGTCGAGACCGAGAAAGGCTACCTGACGGCCGAGTTGCATGAAGACGCTGCGAGAGCGCTCCTTAATATACGGACCAGGGCTCTTTCCAAGTACCCATGACGGTTCGGTCTTGTCGGTTTCGGCGGGTACAGACTGATGTTGGAAGAGCATGTAGTACTTGAAAGCAACGGCACCAACACCGGTGAATACCGGCGTTTGCATAAAGTGATGAGGGTATGATCCGAAGCCGTCGATAATGTCGTGGTCATCCCAGATGTTGACCATTGGGATCTGGGAGTTGGCCATGCCAAACAAACCCTGGGAGAACCACATTGCGTACCGATCAAGGTAGAACTGCTCCAGCTCGTTCTGCATCTCCTCAGAGAATGTCTGATGGTGCTTGTGCATGGGGTTTCTGTTTTCAGTCCATTGTCTGAACAAAGTCGTTTGCCTCATTACAGCGTCGTTGTAAATCTGGTCACCTCCACCGATCATCACATGGAATGGGCGGGTTTGGTGCGTGTTCAGTACATCGCGCCACATCGGGTCTGGACCACAGAACTCATTCGCTTCGACAGTGGCCGAGAAGCCGTTGCAGCTGTGAAACATGATATTCATAGACTCTCCCTTGGCTGGGACCCAAAATCCGATGGCAGGACCTTGGTTGATCTTGTAGGCAATGCGTGTCTGAGTACTGCCAAGTTCGACTTCGATGTTGAAGCGCCAGAAGGTCACGCCTCGCTCAGCATACAGGCGTATACCGGGGAAATCACGGACTTTGCCAAGCTTCTCGCCGTCCTTCTTGTGAATGCGGGTTGACTTAGAACCCGATCCGTTCGTTGTGCTTCGAGTCGTGGAGAACAAACCGGTGTCGTCTTCAATGCGCGATAGGTCCTCGTCCTCTGCGAGTTCGTCAACCGGCTTGACGTATAGCGCCTCACCAGTACGCGACACTTTGACTTGGCCTTCGATGGGATCGACGTAGGATGGGTCCAACTGGTCCTGGCTAATTTCCTCCGGCGGAGGCGGAAGTATGTCCATTGGCTGCTTGAACAATCGCAACGTCGGCGGCTTGGCATACGAAGAAGAGGCGTCAACAGTAACAATCATGATACTGCCTCTCCAGATTTCACGCTCACGTCCGGGAACGCTGCGATCTCTCCGAAGGCCGGTGTAGCGTAGGAGCGGTCCACACTTGAGGTATAGTGGTGGATTGAAAGCAGTGTGTGTGGGGGCATCGTCGGCATAGCCATCGTAAGTTGGCTCCGCGTATCCGCCGGAACGTCTTCGTCGAGAGGCCTTGCTCTCTTCCCACCATGCTTTGTTGCCGCTATTGGCTTTGACTGGAGCGTCTAGATCTAGATCATCTGCAGTAAGGAGACCGATCGGTGCACTTCTCCATTCCTCGAGCATAGGAGCGGGTGTGTAGGTCCTTTCCGGCTCGCTGTGATGGCGGGAGTAGCGATGTTTTTTCTCAGGGTCGTGCTGCTCTAGGTCCGACTCGGACTCAGAGAACATGACGCTCTTGCGATTGGTCTGAGGGACAGGCGGAATAGGCGGAATTTGAACGGTCTGGGGAACGGGGGGTATCTTGCGTGGCAGTTGCTGGGTATCATTCTCTCGCGGTGATCCTTTGTAGTCGATATCATTTTGCTGCATTTCCATCTGTGCAGCCATGAATCCTCGGCTGTCTCTTTTCCCCTGGCCCCTCTTGCTCTCCGAACGAGATACATCAGAGGGTGTCGAAGTGTCGCGGACACCTACCAGGCCAAGTCCCGCGGGGTTGGCTACGGGCTTCCTGGGCATGTTCTGCGAAGGCAGCATACTCCGATCGCTGTAGCTGCCAGATTTCCGTGAACCCGCCGGTTCCTTTCCCTTCAAGCTGCTTCCTCGCGGTATGGCAGCATCGGTATGCGGTACCGGCTGGTAGGCCATGGGAACAACCTGCGCCTTTTGCATGGGCACATGCTGAACGGACTGGACTGCTCCTCCTTGCGCATCCGAGGGATGCCATGGGTCGCTAAGGTCATAGGCATAGCCGTCGTCCGATTCCAGGTCGCTCATGGGCGGGGACATGGGTGGGG